AGTGTAGTAATTGAGGGGCTATGGGCGGCCTTGACCGTGGAGTTTGTTATGGATGGTACTTGAGAGGCGGCGGGGTCGGTGGTGGCTGTAGGCGCGCGGACCTCGGAGGAGACAGTAGTTGTTGGGAGGTAGAGTTGATGTGAAAAATGAAGGAATATAGAGGCGCGCGGACCTCTGAGAAGACAGGTGGTTGGAGAGAGAGGTGAAGTTGTAGATGGCTTGATAGTGAGCAGAAAGTGGATCGAGATTGCTAGGTTGAGAGGTGGGCGCGGACGTCGGAGAGGACAGTCACGCACATATGGGTGAATTTGGAGTGACTACATACCAATCCGTGAAACAATTAAGTAATGAAACAATAGGCGAGAGCTTTCAATACAACTGATAGCTCATGACAGGTAATTAATGACAGATGGTCGGATTGGGGTGTGCTGATAGCTATAGTCCGGGAAAGCCACTTTTAAGAGAACAAGAGTTGAAAATGGTTTGGCTCAACCGGCAATGGGTATGGTTGAGTGATCGTGTGAAAGTGGGTCTCCCGGCAATTCGCTATTAGCTAATCTATGTTACCGTAAATAATCCAGATTTTTTAATGTCTCTCTAAGTTAGTCAAATTAAGTCAAAATGAGTTGAAATTTGTGTCATGATGCTTATAAACATACACTCATTCATTTACAACCTCCCAAACATGACTTCTGATCGAAATTATACATTCTCGCCCATGGGCCAACCTATTTTTCGCCCATGGGCGAGATTTTTTAACATCCATCTAAGTTAGTCGAACTAAGTCAATATGAGTTGAATTTTGTTTCATGGTACTTATAAACATACACTCATTCATTTACAACCATCAAAACATGGAAAATCATGTATTTTAGTAAAAGTAAATATTCTCGCCCATGGGCCAAAATGTGTTTCGCCCATGGGCGAGATTTTTTAACATCGCTCTAAGTTAGTCAAATGGAGTCAAAATGAGTTGAAATTTGTTTCAAGGTACTTATAAACATACACTCATTCATTTACAACCTCCAAAACATGGAAAATCACGTATTTTGAGTAAAAGTAAATATTCTCGCCCATGGGCCAAACTATTTTTCGCCCATGGGCGAGATTTTTTAATATCGTTCTAAGTTAGTCGAATTAAGTCAATGTGAGTTGAATTTTGTTTCATGATACTTATAAACATACACTCATTCGTTTACAACCTCCAAAACATGGAAAATCATGTATTTTGAGTAAAAGTAAATATTCTCGCCCATGGGCCAACCTATTTTTCACCCATGGGCGAGATTTTTTAATATCGTTCTAAGTTAGTCGAATTAAGTCAATATGAGTTGAATTTTGTTTCATGATACTTATAAACATACACTCATTCATTTACAACCTCCAAAACATGGAAAATCATGTATTTTGAGTAAAAGTCAATATTCTCACCCATGGGCCAAAATGTTTTTCGCCCATGGGCGAGATTTTTTAACATCGCTCTAAGTTAGTCAAATGGAGTCAAAATGAGTTGAAATTTGTTTCAAGGTACTTATAAACATACACTCATTCATTTACAACCTCCAAAACATGGAAAATCATGTATTTTGAGTAAAAGTCAATATTCTCGCCCATGGGCCAAAATGTGTTTCGCCCATGGGCGAGATTTTTTAATATCGCTCTAAGTTAGTCAAATTAAGTCAAAATGAGTTGTGTCATGATGCTTATAAACATACACTCATTCATTTACAACCTTCAAAACATGGAAAAACATGTATTCTGAGTAAAAGTCAATATTCTCGCCCATGGGCCAACCTATTTTTCGCCCATGGGCGAGATTTTTTAATATCGTTCTAAGTTAGTCGAATTAAGTTAATGTGAGTTGAATTTTGTTTCATGATACTTATAAACATACACTCATTCATTTACAACCTCCAAAACATGGAAAATCATGTATTTTGAGTAAAAGTAAATATTCTCGCCCATGGGCCAACCTACTTTTCGCCCATGGGCGAGATTTTGTAATACCGCTCTATGTTAGTCGAATTAAGTGTTGTTTCATGGTACTTATAAACATACACTCATTCATTTACAACCTCCAAAACATGGAAAATCATGTTTTTGAGTAAAAGTCAATATTCTCGCCCATGGGCCAAAATGTGTTCCGCCCATGGGCGAGATTTTTTAGCACCCATCTAAGTTAGTCGAATTAAGTCAATATGAGTTGAATTTTGTTTCAAGGTACTTATAAACATACACTCATTCATTTACAACCTCCAAAACATGGAAAATCATGTATTTGATTAAAAGCCAATATTCTCGCCCATGGGCGAGATTTTTTAATATCGCTCCAAGTTAGTCAAATTAAGTTAAAATGAGTTGAAATTTGTGTCATGATGCTTATAAACATACACTCATTCATTTACAACCTCCAAAACATGAATTCTGATCGAAATTAAACATTCTCGCCCATGGGCCACTGTTCGCCCATGGGCCTGCCCATGGGCGAGCGAGTTTAAATTTAAAGTTTTCGAAAGAATTTTTTTTCATTTTTTCATCCTTGGCATATATTCATAACCACTGCATGTTTAATTTGGTGAAATCCCTTGTCAGAAAGTGCCCACAGTGCAGAGAGTTTCTGGACTTTTGTGAGTCCAGAACTAAATTGTGACGTGTTATTATTAAATTTCCAGAAGCCTCTACCCCTTTCTATTTTTGTGAATTCAATATGTAAAGAGATTATGGAGCGATCAGATCGATAACTAGGTTCTATGTTAGTGCAGGTTATTGAGTTTTCCATGTTTTGACTTACGAGGAAAAAATCTAACCGTGCTTGTTTTAGGGGTTTAGGCTTTCTCCAAGTGTACTTGCGTACATTTACATTGTTTGCTCGCCATGGATCATATAAACTGAGTTCATCAACCATCTCAAGTACTGCTTCCTTTGATTTAGGATTATTTATGTGCAGATAGTTGAAGGTGTCCAGGGTTTGATCTTGAACCAGATTGAAATCACCACATATTATATTTGTTTCTGTTTCCAAGTTTTTTACAATGTGTTTTATGTTATGATAGAAATCTGGCGTGTCAGTATTTCGTCCGTATATATTTGTTATGCTTATCAGTTCGTTTTCTAATTTAACCTTAAGTATTATATAGTTTCCATTATTTTCATCTCTTATTTCTTGCATTTCAAATTCAAAATTATCATGAAATAGGATGGCTACACCTCTAGACTGACTAGTAAATAAACAACAGCGTACCTCAGATGATCCCCATTCTAGTTTAACTTTCTGCTCTATATCCTTAGTAAAGTGTGTATCTTGTAAACAGTAAATATTTCCATTTCTTTTCTAAAAGTTTTCAAAAACATCAATTCTTTTCTTTTCATTATTTATGCCTTGGCAATTTGTACAGAAAATATTTAGTTTGTGTTCCATCACGTGAATTGTTTTCTAGCAACCAGAGTTATTGTTTCACGTGTTGAGCAAACAGCCAACTGTACCATTGTTATAATCTGGTGCTTCCCTGTGCGAAATGAAAGTGAATTTCTTATTGAAAACCATAACTGAAAGATTAAACAAAGGATGAAAGCTGTGACTTCCGTCATGTAACCCTACGGCACAATGTTACCATCCTCAAACCGGAAAGAGTTCCTTCCGTTCCCCTAACTCTAAACCAAACTCTAAGCCTAACCCTAAACCTAACCCTAAACCTAACCCTAACTTAAATTTTGGACTTTTATCATTTTGTGAGTTCTCTAGTAATTGTTGTTTTAAGTTTTGTTTATAATTCTAGAATATTTATACATATTATTTGGGATGGGGGAACGCGAGGAACTCTTACCGCAATACACAATACTCGCTGCCTAAGTGCACCTATTAATCCTTGTATGTGTGTCTGGGGTTCTATATAGAAAAATGGAACAAATTTGTTTACCCTCCACAAAATCAAAAACAATCATGCAAAAGTCAAATATAGCATCGAACCTAGAAATATACATTGTAATAAGTTGTGGGTATCCAGTCTTTTGGCAACTAATTTGGATGTTTTGAGGAAAATAATACTGATATAAATAAAGTAGCCTCAATACTCACAGTGCATGGTGGTGTCCTATAATCCAATATGTATCTTGTGAAGTTAGCAACACACAATACACAATTACCCCATGCACAGATACACTTATTTTATCAAAGTCCATGAATGTCTGCCATGGTAGCTCATAGTATCCAGTACGTCTGTACATCATTTTCCTACATGAAATCCTGTGAATTAATAACAATATCACGCAGCACAAATACACATAGTAGTAGGTAGTTCATAGTATCCAATACGTCTGTACATCATTTTCCTATATGAAATCCTGTGAATTAATATCAATATCACAACGCACAAATACACATAGTTTAACAAAATCCATGAATATCTGGTAGTTCAGTGTGTAATATATCTGTCCATCTATAATCTAGAGTTTGACCACCACATGCGTTGACAGAATGAAGATGCTCCCGTACGCGTGATAGAGTTCACTCGCACAATCTGCGCGTGCGTTTCATGTAACAGTGAATACTGTCTGTGCGACAACTCATTTTTTAAACAGGATATTGAAACGACATTTGATCTCTACAAAAAATGTTTTCAAATCATGTTAACGTTAAGAGGTATATAAAAGGTTCAATTAACTAAATGCCTTTAATAAAAAGGCTAAAGGGTGGTTAAATCACCGGAACTTAGTGTAAGAAGTATGATACGTGTTTATTCTTCAAGAAAGTACTTTCTCTTTAATGTAAACACGTTTGTTTTAACCACAAAATGTCTGTCGATGATGAATCACGCCTTTTCCACTGTGAAGAAGGCAGCCTGGTTCCCTGGGACTGTTGCGCCTGCGCTAACGCTCCGACACTGACCCAGGCAACCACTGCCGAATGGCGGCCTTCACTGCAGGGAGACGCGCCATACATTTACTATAGAAAAATCCGAGAACGGGTGGTTAGAATTTTTTCATAGTATTTTCATCGATACTATGGCAAAGTATACGTCACCAGAACAACACCCGTCGTTACTTTCAGTGTACAAACACGATATTTAAGCAGTTTCGAGACACGAAAATCGTCGTTACATTGGCGATATGTAAACAATGACACACACCCTATTTTCATCACCGACATGTGCTTTGATATTTCGTGTCAGCTCGCTATTGCCACAAAATCGTACACATAAAACATGGATCTGAACGACCACATTGATTGAATATAGTTAGCATCTTTATTTTAGCAAATTTGATGAAAATATCGCCGATTATGTCCCGTGTCTTCCATCGTTTCGGGGTAGGTTTAGCGGATATATTTTTCGATCGCCTTGTGAAATTACAAGGTAAAGCGTTTAGATCATATGAATGATGTTAATGACAGGGTTTGTCATTCTGATATTTAGCCTCTACAAAACAACATGAAACAGTTAACATATATACCAATATCAGTCACAAATGTTTATGATTATAATAAAAATGGTGAATCAAATGATCTATATACAAAAATGCACACACATATACAGCTCAAAACAATGAATTTGATACTTGATATTACTATAATAGCTTTCAATAATTTACTGTTATTTCTATTACATTTTGAAGTTCTTCACAGCATATCCAAAAATAACAGGATATTTTTTATTTCCGCTTTTAAATGTACGTTTATTCTTCTTCATTTTCGAATTATTTTCAATGTTGACGCAATGACATATTTGAAGTTAATTTAATGTTTTGATCATAAGTGATTTACTATGAATTATGTTTCGATCATATATTGCGTTGTCATGGTTGAAACTGGTTCGTATTAGTTTCATCATCATATTACTGTTGTTTTATGAGAGGGAATTTAATGTTACATTTGCTAAGGATCTCTTGAATCGCTGGCGCCTGGTTATTCCATGTCACACAGCAGTCAATCTGCCTACTCATTTGTTGTATCTGATTGATGCATTTAAAATAAAACGTAGAAATGCTATTGAATTGTATCATTTGCTTGAAGGAATCGCTCATATGTGGTCGTTATCAAAGTAAAGTCAAACTTCTTTTTGTAAGGTATTCAATGTAAGTTGACACCGTAATTGTTATGGGTAGACTAAAGAAATCATTTATTTAGTTTCACCGCTTAAATTACAACAAAGAAATCAACAGATGGCATCTCAACGACTGACTGACTGAGTATGGTTTTTACGCCGTTTTTAGCAATATTCCAGCAATATCACGGCGGGGGACACCAGAAATGGGCTTCACAAATTGTACCCATGTAGGGGGCATCTCAACGAACGATAAGAACTATGCTTATAACCTACGAGGGCAAACATATCGGGGATAATTTGTTTTTATACGATATGCACCGGGAAAACTATCACTTTGTCATGGTGACATGACATCATGAACAATGTTATGACGTCACGTTGCTTCTAACAAGCCGCCTTCTAAATACAGCGATGACGGGGGAGCCTGCCTTTGTTGGAAAGTACATTATCGCGTAATTTCCTGAATTGAAGACTTCGGTTATAAATAGAAAAATATACTTGTGACCATATCATACTGTGTTAAAGACCTAAATACCGGCATATCCCTTCTCTGGTTCCGAAAATACAAAGATTTAGGCAGTTGTGTCGTAAACATGATATGACAAGGGCACTCATATTTATCTTCTATAAAGTCGGCTGTATTCCAACCGTGAGATATGTCGTCAATAATGTCTGGTAAAAGCTACCAGCGTCCCAATAGTGTCCATAGGTTTTAGAAATCTATAACAAAAAAGCACCACCTCACTACTTTTTTGATAAATGTCAAAGGGTCATTCAACCATATTAAAAAGTTTTCAGGCTTGAAGGACGATACTCATTAAAAATCTATTGCCAGCTCCTGTTTAGAGACCGATAAAAGGTAACCCTAACAAATTCATTACTTCAAGCACAAATGACTTTATTTCAAACAGTATAAAAAACACATGATGTTCTGATGTAAAAAACATAGTATCAGCTACGTAACACAAAAATATTAATCAATACTGAAGTAAATTACAGACATGAAATAGTAGCATCTGCTGTTACACAATAAACCCAACTTGTAACACACGTGTGGCAGACTGCTTCCCACTTTTAAAACGGTAACAAACATTGAAGTAAATTACAGACTGGGTCTTCCATGCACCATCACCAAGTCTGACCACTTGAACTTCAGTTCAGTGATCACAGAGGCAGTGAACTCTGACCCATTGTCATTCTGTAAAATGGCAGGTGCACAAGTAGCAAGAAGATATCCATGAATTGATATGCAACTTCACTTTCACGTTTGGAGGTGAGTGGACGGACACAGAATTTAGTAAAGTGTTCTTGGTAAACCATGATCCACTTATGTGATCCACTGGCAATTGACTGCATGTCCACAAGATGTACCTGTCCACAAGATGTACCTGTCCACAAGATGTACCTGTCCACAAGATGTACCTGTCCACAAGATCTACCTGTCTACAAGAACTACCTGTCCACAAGATCTACCTGTCCACGGGATCTACCTGTCTACAAGAACTACCTGTCCACAAGATCTACCTGTCCACGGGATCTACCTGTCTACAAGATCTACCTGTCCACAGGACAAGTAATCTTTGGAGATGATAGGTTTCACAACAACACCTTTTGTTGTAACACGTTTCCTCTTCATTTGACATTATATGCAAAGGGATTTGAATAACTCAATAGCATCACGTGTGACATTTGCATATTTCACGAATGCTTTTACCATTTTTGTCTCTGCCTCCACGACCAGTAGAAATGTGGGCACGTTTTATGATATCAAACATCTCATCAATATAAGTGAAATAGCTAACTGCAGATTATGATTCTGGCTTTCTCTTTCTGATTAACTTCTCAACGTCACCACACTGCACGATCTCATACCTCCCAAGAATGTAATACTGCCGGAATGTCTTCTCAGCACCTAGTCCAACCTTGACTTCTTCAATCAAACTTTAGTACTCTTCTTTAGTCAACAAGAGTGACTTTGAATCGGACTGTCGTCTACTCAGGAGATGTTCACGAAATCTAGACTACATGATGATAACAAGAATGAATGTCAAGTCTAGTAAGAAAATACTTGCATTTTATAGCATTTCTAAGGAAGCCTGTGCTCTAAGGAAGAATCATTTCTAGGGAAGCCTTTGCTTTAAGGAAAATTGGATTAATCTAAACTATAAACATTACTTTATTAAAAGAAGCCTCAGTGATCACAGAACGAAACCGATGCTAACCTTGTCTTCTCAATAATCCCTGTTCAACAATCAGTCAATCTGTACAATAATTGGGTTAATTAATCAGGCAATGTACACAATGCCTGGAAATTTTAGACAATGTACACAATGACTGAGTGAATCAAGCAATGTACACATTGACTGGTTATTTCATTGTACACATTGCCAGATTGTAGACATTTCCTGTAACATATATATATATATATACGACTCTGTGGTGTGTGTGTGTGTGTGTGTGTGTGTGTGTGTGTGTGTGTGTGTGTGTGTGTGTGTGTGTGTGTGTGTGTGTGTGAAGTCACTGCCACGGCACTAAGCAAGACATTGGTAAATACATAAGCCGAAGGAAACATTCCACAGCTATGTAACTGACTACATTGGCAAATAAGCGCTGGTATATACTTTGATGGCAGATGAATGGTCAATGGCCGAGGTTCAATAAGCAGAGAGGAAAAGCATGTGTCTGAAAGATGACTCTGGTGTCAAGGACACAAAATGTTCAGTTTTCTAAAATGAAATATCATTGGATTGTCAAGAATCGGTTAACGATTCACCTGACTTACAGCTGACTAAACATACATCTTGGCCACATACATTAACGATTTGAAATGGTACTAGAAGAGAAGAGAAGAGAAATAAAGATGATGACACGTAAACTATGCGTTTTGTCTTATATTTCTGACCCTCATCTCAAACCTTGATCATCAGTTATATCTAAACCTGGAGACAACCCTCCACCACTCTCTCTCAAATTTTCTACAAGTACACACCCATGCTGTCTGCACAGTGGAAACAAAACAGGCTCCGTCAATTTTCTACACTTGAGACCATTGTAGGTTTAATGGCACGTTATCGTTTTGATTTATGGTGTCATTGTGCAAGTCACGCTTCACATAGCCCGTCTATACTTGGACTCTGTCTCTCATACTCTCGAGATAACAAATCGTTATGTAACTGGAGCTCTTTTCAAATCCACGTTGAATCGATATTTCTTTAGAAATTGCAATATTCATATCTTCCAGTGATAATTCAACTTGCATTCAGCACATTATGATTTTGTTTGCACGCCATCTCGGACAAACTAGATTGACTAACAGATTGTATAAACGTAGTATTATTCAGATGTGTTGACAGATACAACTTCGTTAAGCGTTACCATATCGTCATCCTACCAATCAGGGCGCAGGGTGTCTAAATGGTGGCAGAAACTTCAGTTCACAGATCTCATACGTTATCGAAAGCTAACGATTTATGGGTCGACATTTTAAAACATGCAGTCTCCGTAGATCTGATGTATCAAACTGAATGAAACCCAATTTCACCTCACCTCACCTCACCTCACCTCACCTCACCTCACCTCACCTCACCTCACCTCACTTATGACCTTGTAGGTTTTAATGGCACAACACACGTTATTGTTATTTTGGTTTACGTGTCATTGTGTAAGTGACAGGTCATATAGCCCGATAATACCCGGAATTGTAATAGTAATAGCAACAGTCCGCTTATAAGGCGCTCATATCCAGGCGCATTGCCTGCTCACGGCGCTACGTACATTACTTATATTACTTCTGGGATGTTGACTGTACGCCATTACTGTACGAGCTCCGTTCACAGATACCTTATTTACATTAACGTTTCGGGAATGGCGAACTGTCCTGTAAGTATTCAATAGTTAATTTGACTTTTGCCTAAGAATCAGCTCTGCGATGGTGTTTTTGGGTGGTACTTTTGCCAAAGGTCGGTGGGCGGTGGGGTAGCCTATTGGTTAACGCGTCAAACCAAATACCCTCTCTATATTCTTCCACGATATTACAACAAATATAGGCGTCCAGTGGTTAAAGTGTTCGCTTATCACGCCAAAGACCCGGGTTCAATTCCCTACATGGGTACAAGTGTGAAGCCAATTTCTGGTGTCTCCCGGCGAGATATTGCAGGAATATTGATAAACGTGGTGTAAAACTAACTAACTCACTCACTCACTGTACATTAAGAGACACGTTAGCATTATATACGTCTATAGTATCACCTTACATTCAAACTGGTTATATCCTGATAGAACCGCAAACTGTCTCAGTTTTCAGAGACTCGGTGTGCGCTATTGCACGGTACGAGGACCGTGGATATGTATTTTACAGGATTTTGTTATGAATGTGTGACCTTCATGTGGACATATTCAAAAGATCTTTTGTGTTTTTTGTTAGAACACGTCTGGGCGAGTTTGTTGAACCCATTTCGTCTGTAACATTACCTGCCCCTACCGTTGGTTCCAGAACGTCGAACATTTCTTAAAATATTCAGTAAATCATGTGAAATGTGTCCTAGAATCAGGTCTGATTGAGCTTGTAAGGTCATCTCCGTTTTGTGTAGTACCCCAGTCATATCAGGGCGTGGCAGATAATGTGTGAGGGAGGTCAAAGGTTAGACTGATGGAGCAGTAGGGTGAAGTCCAGTCGTAGGTTGCTGGCAGAAACATGACCAGTCTTGGATTCAAACCCACGGCGAGCGGATCCTGTCAAGTCAGATTGGGGTGTTAGGTCTGATATATATTTTATCTGTTTATTAAGAGCATTTCAGTCAGGATTCACTCCATGTTAAAGATGATATATTACAGGCGACAACTAGGCGAAACAGCCGAACCCTGATCGATAGCCAAGGCATTCCATGGGGACAATGGCCTAAAGAGACACTACGAGGAATCTACGCTTTCAAACAGGGTGGATTGGTCATCTACGTGGGGAGGTCCGGCAACGTAAATCAACGTCTGAGGTCACACTGCTACAGACGCCTAGAAGAGGACCAACAAGCCATCGACAGACATATTCGTCGTACCGCTGCCTGGAGGCTTAGCTACAACTACGTGGTTGACCCCAACCAGAGGTTTAATGAGCGCTGTTACGTACACTTTATTACTCTCTTGCAAGGCCGGCCGCCGAGGTTCAACAAAAGGAGGGGAGATGCGTGTGCCCAGTGTCAGAGAATATGAACCTGGTGACAAGGAAACAAAATGTGCGATTTTCTGAAACGAAATCCAGAATGTCATGAATCAGTTAAAGCAGGAGACTGACCTGACTTACCTATAACTGACTGAATAATGTGTATATACATCTGATATTTGTGTTAATCTTTGCCACATTCGTTTACGATTTGATGGGATTCGAGACTAGAAAAGAAATAAACATGGTCACACTGTAAACTGTGCGTCCTGTCTTCTATTTCTGACCCTCATCTATAACCTGGGCCATCAGTTATATCTAAACGTGGACCATCAGTTATATCTTAACATGGACCATCAGTTATATCTAAATCTGGACCATCAGATATATCTAAACCTGGATCATCAGTTATATCTAAACCTGGATCATCAGTTATATCCTAACGTGGACCATCAGTTATATCTAAACCTGGACCATCAGTTATATCCTAACGTGGACCATCAGTTATATCTAAACCTGGATCATCAGCTATATCTAAACCAGGACAATCAGTTATTTCCTAACGTGGACCATCAGTTATATCTAAACCTGGACCATCAGCTATACCTAAACCTGGATCATCAGTTATATCTAAACCTGGACCATCAGCTATATCTAAACCTGGATCATCAGTTATACTTAAACCTGGATCATCAGCTATTTCTAAACCTGGATCATCAGCAGTATATACAACAGGGGTAGGAGATCACTTCCAACAAAATTTCATAAATAAAGCTTTTGTCAGGCCCTTATCTCTTTCCGCTAGTGTGCATACCACTTTTGAATCCCCAGCCAACTTCCTGGTCACTAAGACCGCGAATCGGCACTTTCCTGGTCACTCGGTCATCAGTTAAACCTGGATCATCAGTTATATCTAAACCTGGATCCCGGTTTAGATATAGCTGATGGTCCAGGTTTAGATATAACTGATGGTCCACGTTAGGATATAACTGATGGTCCAGGTTTAGATATAACTGATGACTCAGGGTTAGATATAACTGATGGTCCAGGTTTAGATATAGCTGATGATCCAGGTTTAGATGTCACTGATGATTCAGGTTTAGATATAACTGATGGTCCAGGTTTAGATATAACTGATGATCCAGGTTTAGATATAGCTTGACCATCAGCTATATGTAGCCCTGAATCATCAGTTATATCTAATCCTGGACCATCAGTTATATCCTAACGTTGACCATCAGTTATATCTAAACCTGGACCATCAGTTATGTCTAAAACTGGATTATCAGTTATACTTAAACCTGGACCATCAGTTATATCTAAACCTGGACCATCAGTTATATCTAAACCTGGACCATCAGTTATATATAAACCTGGGTGCCGTTCCACTAACCGATCTTAGCCCTACGCCAATCGTAAACCCCTAAAATCCCAATCTTAGCGTGACGATATGATCGGCATACCGTTCCACTAACCAATCTTACCTAAGTCAATTGTAAAGTTAAGATTCAAAGTCTAAGTTGCTCATGACCAACTTAGGATAGCTAAAATCAAGCGTAGAGAAACCAAAATGGTGGCTTTCCTATTCTGTGTGAAAAATAAGAGCGAGCATTTCACCGTGAGCGTCCCCTAAAATCCCCCATGAAATGAATTTGTATATTTCTGTAATGTAAACAAACACTGCACTGAAACCTTACAAATGTCAGGCCAGTCTGACCACTGTCGTCATGGGAACACAGCCGAGCGAGTCGGTGGAACACATTTGTACAACAATATTGCAACGTCATGGTTAAGAATAGGGACAGCCGTGAAGTGAACAATGTTCTGAAACAAAAAGATACAAATATGTTTGATTTCACGTGCGCTTATTTGGTGGGGGATTCTAAAGGCAGGCCGCGTGTTATTCAAGACCACTGACAAATTCTACATACGTTATAGAGGATGCCTCCTCACGCCTTGTTTATTCTGATTGACAAGGTTCAGGCACATATTAAAAGCTCTGACACAATTGACATTTTCAAAGTCCAGGCTTAAAACCTGTTCTCAGTATATTACTTATAATCTCGGCTGTAAATACTCTCGTGTAAATTATCTGTACATAGCGCTTTGAGCATGCCCCAGGATGTGGAATAGGCGCACTATAAATATGGAATTATTATCATTATATTATGCCTGATATCCAGCGTTCACACGCACATGCACCTGAAACCAAGGAGCTCACTACCCTAATATTTTGCTCTAGTTTTTTTCTTCACGTTTACACTTGGTTGGAAAAATACCCATGAAGGCCCGGGTTAGAATATTGAACTTTAATAACCCATGCTTGTCGTAAGAGGCCACTAACGGGATCGGGTGGTCAGGCTCGCTGACCTGGTTGACACATGTCATCGGTTCCCAACTGCGCAGATTGATGCTCATGCTGTTGATCACTGGATTGTCTGGTCCAGACTCGATTATTTATAGCTAAGATACATGAACGTTCATGTTAGTGAACGCTATGCATCTTAGCTAGATTATTTACAGACCGCCGCCATGTAGCTGGACTATTGCTGAGTGCGGCGTAAATCTAAACTCACTCACTCAGTTGGTTCGTAAACTTCTTCCATCATTTGCTAGACTATGCAAAGGGAGATAACTCGTGCCCCCGCATTCCTCTATCTCTCGCACGAAAGAGTCTCGATATAAGCTTGAATCGGATCGTAAGATCGGGACCGGCTACGATCGGCCTAAGATCGGGTAGTGGAACGGGTGTAACTTTTAGCTAAGACGATTGTAAAATTGGCGTTACTTGCTAAGATTGATCTTAGGTAAGATCGGTTAGTGGAACGGCACCCTGGACCATCAGTCATATCTAAACCTCGACCATCAGTTATATCCTAACGTGGACCATCAGTTATATTTAAACCTGGATCATCAGTTATATCTAAACCTGGATCATCAGTTATATTTAAACCTGAATAACCAGTTATATCTAAACCTGGACCATCAGCTATATCTAAACCTGGATCATCTGTTATATCTAAACCAGGAACATCAGTTATACCTAAACCTGGACCATCAGCTATATCTAAAGCTGGACAATCAGTTATACTTAAACCTGGACCATCAGCTATATCTAAACCTGGTCCATCAACTATATCTAAACCTGGACCATCAGTTATATCTAAAACTGGATCATCAGATATACTTAAACCTGGACCATCAGTTATATCTAAAACTGGATCATCAGTTACACTTAAACCTGGACCATCAGTTATATCTAAACCTGGACCCTCAGTTATGCCTTAACCGGGACCATCAGTTATATCTCAACTTGGACCATCAGTTATATCTAAACCTGGACCATCACTTCTACCTTAACCTGGACCATCAGTTATATCTAAACCTGGATCATCAGTTATATCTAAACCTGGACCATCAGTTATATTCTAACGTGAACAATCAGTTATATTTAAACCTGAATCACCAGTTATAATCTAAACCTGGACCATCAGTTATATCTTAACATGGACCATCAGTTATATCTAAACCTGGACCATCAGATATATCTACACCTGGACCATCAGTTATATCTAAACCTGGATCATCAGTTATATCTAAACCTGGATCATCAGTTATATCCTAACGTTGACCATCAGTTATATCTAAACCTGGACCATCGGTTATATCCTAACCTGGACCATCAGTTATATCTAAACCTGGATCATCAGCTATATCTAAACCTGGACCATCAGTTATATCCTAACGTGGACCATCAGTTATATCTAAACCTGGATCATCAGTTATATCTAAACCTGGACCATCAGCTATATCTAAACCTGGACCATCAGTTATATCTAAACCTGGACCATCAGTTATGGATCATCTAAAAACCTGGACCATCAGTTATATCTAAAACCTGGATCATCAGTTATATCTAAACCAACCTGGACCATCAGTTATATCTAAACCTGGATCATCAGTTATATCTAAACCTGGACCATCAGTTATATCTAAACCTGGACCATCAGTTATATCTAAACCTGGACCATCAGTTATATCTAAACCTGGATCATCAGTTATATCTAAACCTGGATCATCAGTTATACCTTAACCTGGACCCTCCGTTATACCTTAACCTGGACCCTCAGTTATATCTTAACCTGGACCATCAGTTACATCTAAACCTGGACCATCAGTTATATTCTAACGTGGACCATCAGTTATATTTAAACCTGAATCACCAGTTATATCTAAACCTAGACCATTAGCTATATCTAAACCTGGATCATCCGTTATATCTAAACCTGGAACATCAGTTTTATCTAAACCTGGACCATCAGCTATATCTAAACCTGGACAATCAGTTATACTTAAACCTGGACCATCAGCTATATCTAAACCTGGACCATCAGCTATATCTAAACCTGGATCATCCGTTATATCTAAACCTGGAACATCAGTTATATCTAAACCTGGACCATCAACTATATCTAAACCTGGACAATCAGTTATACTTAAACCTGAATCATCTGTTATATCTAAACCTGAATCATCAGTTATATCTAAACCTGGATCATCAGTTATATCTAAACCTGGACCATCAGTTACACTTAAACCTGAATCATCAGCTATAGCTAAACCTGGATCATCATCTATATCTAAACCTGGATCATCAGTTATATCTAAACCTGGACCATCAGTTATATCTATACCTGAATCATCAGTTACATCTAAACCTGGACCATCAGTTATATCCTAACGTGGACCGTCAGTTATATCTAAACCTGGATTATCAGCTATATCTAAACCTGGATCATCAGTTTTATCCTAATGTGGACCATCAGTTATATCTAAACCTAGACCATCAGTTATATCCTAACGTGGACCATCAGTTATATCTAAACCTGGATCATCAGCTATATCCTAACGTGGACCATCAGTTATATCTAAACCTGGACCATCAGTTATATCTAAAACTGGACAATCAGTTATATCTAAAACTGGATCATCAGTTATATCTAAAGCTGGACCCTCAGTTATATCTAAACCTGGATCATCAGTTATATTTAAACCCGGAGACAACCCTCCACCACTCTCTCTCACATTTTCTACAAGTACACACCCATGCTGTCTGCATAGTGGAAACAAAACAGGCTCCGTCAATTTTCTACACTTGAGACCATTGTAGGTTTAATGGCACGTTATCGTTTATTGATTTATGGTGTCATTGTGCACGTCACACTTCACATAGCCCGTCAATACTTGGAATTATATCACTTCTAGGAAACTGACTGACTGTCTCTCACACTCTCGGGATTACAAATCGTTATGTAACTGGAGCTCTTTTCAAATCCACGTTGAAGCTAACTCACTGATTTATTGAATCGATATTTCTTTAGAAATTGCAATATTCATATCTTCCAGTGATAATTCCAACGTGCATTCAGCACATTATGATTTTGTTTGTACGCCATCTCTGACCAACTAGATTGACTAACAGATTGTACAAACGTAGTACTATTCAGATGTGATGACAGGTATAACTTCGTTAAGCGTTACCATATCGTCATCCAACCAATCAGGGAGCAGGATGTCAAAATGGTGGCAGAAACTTCAGTTCACAGATCTCATACGTAATCGACAGCTAACGATTTATGGGTCGACATTTTAAAACATGCAGTCTCCGTAGTTCGGATGCATCAAACTGAATAAAGCCCGACAATACCCGGAATTGTAATAGTAATAGTAACAGTCCGCTTATAATGCGCTCATATCCAGGCGCATTGCCTGCTCACGGCGCTACGTACATTACTTAAATTACTTCTGGGATGTTGACTGTGCGCCATTACTGTGCTAGCTCCGTTCACAGATACCTTATTTACATTAACGTTTCGGGAATGGCGAACTGTCCTGTAAGTATTCAATAGTTAATTTGACTTTTGCCTAAGAATCAGCTCTGCGAATGTGTTTTGGTCGGTACTTTTGCCAAAGGTCGGTGGGCGGTGGGGTAGCCTATTGGTTAACGCGTCAAACCAAATACCCTCTCTGTTTTCTTCCACGATATTGCAACAAATATCGGCGTCTTTACAAAGTCCAGTGGTTAAAGTGTTCGCTTATCACGACAAAGAGTCGGGTTCAATTCCCTACATGGGTACAATGTGTGAAGCCAATTTCTGGTGTCTCCCGGCGTGATATTGCAGGAATATTGATAAAAGTGGTGTAAAACTAACTAACTCACTCACTCACTGTACATTAAGAGACACGTCAGCATTATATACGTCTATAGTATCACCTTTCATTCGAACTGGTAATACCCTGATAGAACCCCAAACTGTCTCAGTTTTCAGAGACTCGGGGTGCGCTATTGCACGGTACGAGGACCGTGGATAATTATTTTACAGGGATCGATTTGTTATAAATGTGTCACCTTCATGTGGACATATTCAAAAGATCTTTTGAGTTTTTTGTTAGAACACGTCTGGGCGAGTTTGTTAAACCCATTTCGTCTGTAACATTACCTGCCCCTACCGTTGGTTCCAGAACGTCGAACATTTCTTAAAATATTCAGTACCGATAGTACGCGAACATTTTGTAAAGTATTTTGTAAATCATGTGAAATGTGTCTTAGAATCAGGTCTGATTGAGCTTGTAAGGTCATCTCCGTTTTGAGCAGTACCCCAGTCGTACCAGGGCGTAGCAGATAAGGTGTGAGGGAGGTCAAAGGTTACACTTGGGTGAAGTCCAGTCGTATGTTGCTGACAGATAAAGGATCATTCTTGGATTGAAACCCACGACCAGCGGATCTCATCAAGTCAGATTGGGGTGTTAGGTCTGATATATATTTTGTCTGTTTATTAAGAGCATTTCAGTCAGGATACACTCCATGTTAAAGATGATATATTACAGGCGACAACTAGGCGAAACAGCCGAACCCTGATCGATAGCCAAGGCATTCCATGGGGACAATGGCCTAAAGAGACACTACGAGGAATCTACGCTATCAAACAGGGTGGATTGGTCATCTACGTGGGGAGGTCAGGCAACCTAAATCAACGTCTGAGGTCACACTGCTACAGACGCCTAGAAGAGGACCAACAAGCCATCGACAGACATATTCGTCGTACCGCTGCCTGGAGGCTTAGCTACAACTACGTGGTTGACCCCAACCAGAGGTTTAATGAGCGCTGTTACGTACACTTTATTACTCTCTTGCAAGGCCGGCCGCCGAGGTTCAACAAAAGGAGGGGAGATGCGTGTGCCCAGTGTCAGAGAATATGAACCTGGTGACAAGGAAACAAAATGTGCGATTTTCTGAAACGAAATCAAGAATGTCATGAATCAGTTAAAGCAGGAGACTGACCTGACTTACCTATAACTGACTAAATAATGTGTATATACATCTGATATTTGTGTTAATCTTTGCCACATTCATTCACGATTTGGTCCTAACGTGGACAATCAGTTATATCTAAACCTGGACCATCAGTTATATCTAAACTTGGACCATCAGTTATATCTAAACGTGGATCATCAGTTATATCTAAACCTGGATCATCAGTTATATCTAAACCTGGATCATCAGTTATATCTAAACCTGGACCATCAGTTATATCTAAACCTGGACCATCAGTTATATCTAAACCTGGACCATCAGTTATATCCTAACGTGGATCATCAGTTATATCTAAACCTGGATCATCAGTTATATCTATACCTGGACCATCAGTTATATCTAAACCTGGACCATCAGTTATATCTTAACCTGGATCATCAGTTATATCTAAACCTGGATCATCAGTTATATCTAAACCTGGACCATCAGTTATATCTAAACCTGGATCATCAGTTATATCTAATCATCAGTTATATCTAAACCTGGATCATCAGTTATATCTTAACCTGGATCATCAGTTATATCTAAACCTGGACCATCAGTTATATCTAAACCTGGAGCATCAGTTATATCTAAACTTGAATCATCTGTTATACTTAAACGTGGATCATCAGCTATTTCTAAACCTGGATCATCAGTAGTATATACAACAGGGGTAGGAGATAACTTACAACAAAATTTCATAAATAAAGCTTTTGTCAGGCCCTTATCTCTTTCCGCTAGTGTGCATACCACTTTTGAATCCCCAGCCAACTTCCTGGTCACTATGACCGCGAACCGGCACTTTCCTGGTCAACTCGGCCTATGACTCAAGCCAACACTTCCTGCACTATTGTGAACACTCGACAGGGAGGTAGGTGTGGCAATAAATTTGCACATCAATAAACTATACAATGTTGATCTCAGCGAAACAATTTAATGTGAATCTCCTATGATTTCTTTGGTTTTCGTAATGAAAGCTTGTTGGGCTTGTTGTATCCCTTGTTCTATGTACTTTTTTTCCGTCTTCACTGATGGCAGTGCTTTTACGAGACTTGGACCGAATCTCTTGTTTCATTCTGTGATATTTTGCGAGTTCAGAGAGGACCAAACGAAATTCTTCCTCTGAGATTTTATTGTCAGTGAGTGCGGTGGAAATATGGTCGTCTATTGTGTTTAACTTTGCTTCGGCCAGAATTCTGATTTCGTCGTGTTTCAATGCTTTACGATGTAATCTGCGGGATGCAAACTTAAACACCAACCCCACCAACCCTGACACCCCAGCTGTTATTTCAATACCCAGAACTATGGGTGCGGCTACGATGGTGGTCAACAAACCGAAACCTACTGCTCCTAATCCCATGCTGGTTGCCATAAGGGTGGTATCAGCCCCATCCACGATATTGAAAGCTTTGTGGTATTTCTTACTTAATGACGCCCGTACATAGTTGGCGTTTTACGTCACATAACTGCCTCAACCGAAACCCATCTACGGTTTCCAGTGTCTTCCCTACTTCTTCTACGACTGGGTACAGCCCCATCCTGTGTTTGTTTACTATATATTATCAGATAAAATTTAATTGGTTTTTCGTTAATTTCTTATTAAAGTATTTGAGACTTATAAGGCTTAGATGTTTATCCACGAAAATCCCTAAGACATCCATAGGCACATTTTGGTCCAAAATACGGACCCCGTCGAGGCTTACTAAGGGTGCCGATCCTGGTTGTACGATGATACGACAACGTTGGTAATTGTGCCTGTCTTCCCAGATTATTACCAACCCGTTTAAAGGGCTTGTATCGTTACTAGTGTTCCCGAGATAGACTTCTATGATGAGTGCGTTGTCTGGCCCCGTAGTCAAAAACTTCTGCTGGTAATCGGGTGAATAGGATCTTAAATATACAGTCTCATCGCCTGGAGCTAACATGTTGCCTGAGTGACCTGGTATTCGTATAACTTGTATATTATTATCCGGAATGAAAGACCGGAGAATGATATCGTTGCTCTTAATCTCGGAGACGTAAACATTTTGTTTAAACGAGATATGAGGTGCGGTGAGGGTAATGTTGATCAACCATTCGGGCTCTTTAAAGTCTGCCAGCGGCACCCGCTCGTACACGTTGTCTTTCAAATGTAGGACGTACAATGTGTTTTCCTCACCAGGCAGATCGAACCCCTCCGTGTCTCCTAAATCACCGAGTGTGACGTTGGGATGATGATTCATCCTCTCTATAAAATGTTTTAAATTAGTTTCCAATTGTTTTTCCGATAATTTCTCAGGTCTGCGCTTCAACCCCATGAGATGTATGTTGTCGGGTAGGAAGATTTTGGTGAGTGATATCGTGTCTTCCACGGTAACGTTGACTCCCTGCAGACTGGTGTGGGAATCGACGTTCACCAGCACGTAAACAGAACAAACGTGATATTGATGTTGTTTGGTCCACCGGAGTTTGATTCCTTTCACGATTTCGACTGGTGATGATGGTTCACCGAGGTAGACTTGGATGACCAGCATGGAATTATCCGGTAGATTTTCCAGGATGTTGACAACGCCGTCGAATTCAGACACTAATTGCAACTCCACGTTTTGCTCCCCGGGTTTACTCGATAGCATGTGGGCTGCCATACTTGAGACTGCACTGATGATTACACTGCGCCTATGCGTCGGGACGTAAGCCACGAGCAGGGTTCCGTTGTTCACGACTTTGTTTAGGTAGTGGTCTTTGTTTTCCGTAAACACGTAGGGAGAGCCGAGCGTGATGTTGAGAAACCAGTCGACTCAAGATTGTGTTAAAATCCATTTGTTGTCGTCGGTAAAGACGAGGGCATACTGCTTGTTTCGAACGACGACCGTGGTCTCGACGTCGTTTAAGTCGAACAGCTTGCCGCCGAACGCTGGGTATATCATCCATTCATCCTCGTCATTGTGGACTAGGTCGTACCAATGTTGCTGACAGCTCTTGATGTATCGACGATATCGTCTAAGTTACTGCCAGATCCACCGACGGTGGGGACTTCGACGCGTTTGTAAATATTGTTTTTCAGTTGCAAGGCATACAGTTTACCGTCTATTCCTGGTTCATCGAATCCGCGCGTGTCCCCGAGGTCGGAGACCGCTATATTAACGCATTTTTTCAAACGCATTCCGGGACCTTGGGTGCTAGTCATTATCGTATGTGCAGCGTCACGCTGAGGTATCCTATATTCACAGGATTATGTTTTATACCTAAAACAGATACTTTTAATTCCGAGATGGTGCCTCGGGTTAATTTCTTGTACTGGTATAGTGGCGTCATCCCCGGAGCCAAGGGTTCGACCAGCAACCCCACAGCCTCTTCCACCACGAAAGGTGTCTGAAAATAAAGAACACCTCGATCGTAAAACAGCGCTAGTGGTTGGCGGGATTGCGGTTGGACTTTGCCTCATTTGGTTAAAAATACCTTAGCGGCCACGTACACCAGCCCAGCCACGGCGATGATGAACGCCCACATGTTTTGACCGAGCCACGTGACAGTTTTTGACAGCGTGCTCAGCAACCACGAGACGATGCTACCCAAGATTCCCGGAAGTGCTTCGGCGGCTTTACCGGCGTGTTTAGCCAGGGATTCCCAGAGTTTTTTTACCCAGTCTCTGACACCACCGCTTGGTGATGGTGTTGGTGTTTGTATGCCACTGCCACCTGTCAGCGATACGACCAGGGTCGATATGATGAAGCCCAATGCCGTAAGAACGCTGGCGATGGTGATCCCTTGCTTTCGGAACAAAATTCGGATCCTGTCGGCCAACGTGGTGTCTTCGTGGAGGACTCAATCGATGGTTTCCCGCACGCGGCTGATTTAGGACCGAAGCAGTTCTCGATTCGAGGAAGCGGATTCCAATCGAGTCTGTCTCTCGTCTTGTAAGTCCACAACCGTTTTTCAATGATGGTTTTCAGAGACTCATCGTCTTGGACCTGACTGAGTTTTATTTTCTTGCGAGCAATGTGCTCATCGATTTCGTTCAGTTACCCCATGTTGTTCACGAGTTCTCCACGAACGGTTCGCAAGGCCTTGTCTAGCCCTCGCAGTTCTCGAACAGGAAATTCGAAACCCAGCAAAGTCTCGTTCCAGTACGTGCCTAACGGTTTTTCGATGCTGTCCAACGTTTCTTTTGCGTCTCCAGCATTGCTGAGCTCCCTGACGTTTTGCAGATCACGAACTACTTTGGGTGGAAGTTGTTTGGGTCGTGCACCGCCGTAATCTCGCAAGTTTAATTCATCGCGGATCAGTTGCCCCCAATGACGACTGGCTAGTGTAGACAAGGCAAGCGGTTTTCTCGTGTGTTTGCTCATGAGATCGATCTCTGGATGAGCTTTCAATCGCAATTTCGTCTACGGTCTGCTTTAAAAGTTTGTTGCTAACAGTGTCGCCCATGAATGAGGTGTCTTCATCGTAATCCCCATCATCGAGCGCACCACCCAAATCATCCAGCGGAATATCATCCATTATATTAATTATATTAAACTTATATATTTCATGTATATAACAATGTCATACGGGAGAAAGTTAGATCCTTTCCGAAGATAAAGAGAGCCTCTCGGCGTCAAAGCCGTGCGTCAGTCGGTGACCATTACCAATAATCCATGCAAGATAGATGAAATCCAAACGCTGTTGGTTCGATTCCCCAACCTGGACGAGAATGACCTCGAGAACGCACGGTTCGACTGGCGTTTAACATCGCATTGACTTCCGACAACGACAAACGCGAGCTCGTATGGAACATTGGTCGTGCCATCGTCAAGAAAACCACCATCAAAATCAGCGGCAACGAGGTGTTGAGTATAGATGACAGCGACGTGTTTTACTGTTACATGGATCTCTGGAAAAGCAACATCGCCGGAAGTCAACATCGCCAAGGACCTGGATCTATCCTCTGTGCAGATCGGGGAATACTGACCACCAAGTACGGCTGTGGTTGGACATGCGATCAACGGATGACGACAGGCTACACGGCAGCGGCCGCCGCGTCGACAATGGCAGCGAGGGGATCACCATCCAGATCACCAAGAAGGCTCAAACCACAGGCAAATTAAAATTATATTTGTACGTGATTATGGACGCGCAACTTAATATAGACAATGGAAGATTCGTGCAGGCAGTTTATTGATCTACCTCGCGATCCGCACTGCGCTATAGTGTGCGGGCAGACGGGCTGTGGGAAGACCGTTTTCGTGCTGAACATGCTGGAGGGGTACTACCGGGATACCATCGATCACATCGTTATCATGTGCCCTACTCTGAACATCAACAAAACGTTCACGGAAAGATCTTGGGTGATGACGGACCCGGACGTGCACAAAGTCGACCCGGGAACATGTGTGCAGGATTGGCTGAAAGCTTATCGCAACAAATTTAAAGGGAAGTCGACGCTGTTTATCCTGGACGACTGCAGCGCTAATAAAGAGATAACAAAAAGGAGAGACATGCTATCGTATTTAGCGTTTTCTGGCCGACACACAAAGCACAGCGTTTGGGTGCTAACGCAGAAATTCAACTCGGTGTTGAAACACGCGATGGGTTGCCTTATTTCACTGCAACGACAGAGATTCGTTCGAGGAATGTTTGAGAGAAAACGACGTGATGAGCAAACTAGAACGAGAACGAGTGAAAAAACAACTCGCCGAAACGAAACACACCAAACTCGTGCTGAAAACCAACCAACCCGTGGCTTATCGAGTGTTTTAGTTTAGCAAATTGAGGTAGTCGCGCGACCCATTCGGTGTTGGGTTTATTTAGACTTATTTCCTGTGCGTACTGATGCCTGAATAAGCTCTCGGCCAAAGTCCTATTGAATCTCTCGACTATGGCTTGGCTGCGCCACGCCTGACTTGGATGCCGTGCTTGGCTCGCAGTTGTAACACGGCACCCATGAACTCCCATCCGGGATCGACTTGCAACATGGTGGCCATGTCAGCGGACTGCTTGTATATGCGCTCGAA